TTTTTTTTTTTTTTTTTTCTTTTTTCGTAACAAAATCGTGAACGTCTCACGATTTCGTCTCTCTAAGTATCCTATGTTATTATTATTATTGCTATTATTATTATTACTATTAATATTATTAATATTATTAATATTATTATTACTATTATTATTATTATTATTATTATTATTATCATTATTATTAGTAAAGTAAGATATGTCGGTTTTTTTATTGTCGCGCGCGCGCATCTGCTTGTTAACAGCAGACACTGCCTTCTCACCTGTGAAAGAAAGAATCGCGTCGAAACGCGTGGAAACGAATTTGACCGTGTTTTTCCAATCCAATCTCCCGAAGAAAAGCGAGTATGAACGTAGGAGATAACGTCGCTTTAACCGGCCTCATCCTTTGTCAAAGATATTTCGCGTTCTGTGCATAAGTACACGTATAAGTACACATACACACACACACACACATATACACACAGCATATATATATATATATATATATATTATACGCGCCTCTGTGTATATATATTTGATTAGCACGCTTTTCTTCGTTCGAGTTAATCGTGCGTAATTAAGGGTGAAGGGAAACATTGGCTTCCTTTCGTTGTCCGCGTTTTATATATATACATATATATACGAATCAAAGTGGCAACTAGGTCGAGTCAGTTAACTCGGCGATTTTATATTTTATGCAGAGAGAGAAAGAGAAAGAGAGAGAGAGAGAGAGAGAGAGAGAGAGAAAGGGAGAGAGAAAATATGGAAGGAACTGGCCTTCCAATTGCCACTTTGCACGACCATAACACTAGGCTTTTTTTTTCGAATGCCATCGTTAGGTTAGGTCGTTCGACGATCGGTCGAGGAAGGAATATACGTCTCGTTTATTCGATTGTGGAAATTGTGGATACGATTGATTGCAACGTACGTTTCGTCCTCGACGGATTTCTCCTTCCCCCACTCCTACCCCCCTCTCAAAAAGAAAAAAAAAATGTCGGTGCGAGAAGCCAGAGTTCCAGTTTTTCGACTCCGTCGTCGTCATTCGTCGGTTCGAGGGACGAAATTTTTTCGAGAATTTTTACGCGGCGGGAATCCTCTCGAAATCGTGCAATAGAAGGATCGGTCGCGGCATTACGCGATTCCACGTTCATCCGCATATACGTCCGCTTCGGGCTCCCTCGATTATTGGTGCTAACGCGAGCGTGTCGGAAAAAGAAATCACTCGGAGAGAGTTTCTCGCGCCGGCAAAGGGTCAAGGAAGATAAGGATCGAACGGAAATTCGTTCGGGAGCACGAAATCCCCCCCTCCCCTCTCCCGTGCTTTCGAGAGTGTAGACGAGAGAACATAGACTGTTCAGCAGCTCTGTGAGGTGCGTATGTGTGTGCGCGCGTGCGTGTGTGTGTTTATGTTTGCGCGAGAGTGAAAGAGATCGATCGACGAACGAAGAAAAGGACGATCGATCCCCCCTTGCCCCCTCCCCGTGTGAATCGTCGAATATACGTCGTCGGAGTTAGTTAGCGTCGAGCGACACTGGAGAGAAAAGGAAAGAAATCCAATCGCGAGCAAAGCGACACGCAACTGAAATAATACATAGACGTTAAAGAGCCTCTAACATAAGACTGATTAGCTAATCCCTTTTATGTATATATATATATATATATATACACCCATATTTCGCCGAGTAAGTTTAACGTTATTGAGTCGAAAATGGTAGAAGTTCCATACATGCATACACACGCATATATATATATACACACACATATTTCCTCATCTCCGTAAAACTGTTGTCCTTCTTCTTTTAGTCTTATCTCCCCTCTCCATCTCCCCACCTCTCCCCCGTTCATCCATCGCCAGACGCATCGTCCTTCTCGAAACTACTCGAAACTATCGCTCGTACTTTTGTGTTCCTTTCTCGCGTCCTTCGCGCAGCTAGTTGCAATCGAGCGGACAGTGTTTCCGGGGAAACGCGAAAGCGGAAAATCGAATTCCATGGGATTCTGGAAATTGCGCGGGTATTCGAGAAAGAAAGAAAGAAAGGAAGAAAGAAAGATGGAACGCGTTTTACGACGTTCGCGTCGAGGAAAGAAAAGGGAAGAAAAAAGTGGAATTCGATCGATCGATGTTGAATCGGCGCGCGCCGTTTCCACTCGGTCACCCTCGCGGAACGGACGTTTCCGCGTTCGCGGCCGAAACACACCGCCACACACACACACACACACACACACACACATATATATACACACACACTCGCCGGCCAGAAGCTAACTGGTGTAACGAGATTCGCGAGCACTAGTGACCTAATACCAAGTACCTATTATTACCTATACGTAACGCTTTACGCATTATCCGTACGCGTACGTTCCGGGATCCCGAAGCAAGGAGGAAAGCGCGCGGGTCCCGCTCGATCGAATCGATCCTTTCCTCGCGCCCTCCTCTTTCTCTCGCCGACGTGACAAGTGCCAACAAGTTGTTGTACGCGCGGCGAGAACGATCGTGAACGGGAATCGGTCGATCGGTCGAGGACGCGTTGCGCGAGCTTTTTTCTTGCGGCTCCTCGACACACCTCTTCTCAACAGCGCTCGAAAAAACCTTGGCCCCTTTTTCGGTTTTCGAACCAACTGCACCCTTGGAACGAGCGGAGACCCGCGGGACGGTACAGCCGTTCCTACTCGTTCGTCTCGTTGAAAAAGAAAAAAAAAAGAAAGAGGAAGAACGGGGACACGCGCGGCTCGGCTCGCCGCACAGTGGATCGACGTTTCGCGTTTTCGTCGATCGTTTCTTACGTGTACGTAAGAGTTGAACGATAATGAAGCCTCGCTCGTATTTTCTAAAAAAAAAAAAAAAAGTATTTAGTGTGTAACTAAACGGATAAACAGTTTAACGCTTAGATCGTATGCGTAAATTGGCGCGCGTTCTTTCCCTTGGCGCGTCACCGATCTGCAGCATACGGCATCGTAAGATTAACCGGAAATGTTTCCTACCTAAGTGACGAGTTCTCTCTAATATCGTGCAAAGGTGGCTCGTGGCTCTAAAAAAAAAAAAGAAAAAAAAAGAAATTTCTTAGGCCTATAAATATATAAAACTATATGTATATATAGTTTTGAAACCGTGTAATATATAAATATGTATATTAAGAAGAAAGAATCTGGTATCGCAGATTACGAGAATGAGTGGAATACGAGAGCGATTATTACGTGTTGTGTGTACGTGTTCAAAGAAGTAAATAGAGTATAATCGTGCGTGCGTCGTGAGTGTGCGTACGAGTGTGAGCGTCTGTGAGAGATGTCCGCCGAGAGTGTAGCTTTACGTGTAGAGGCGCAAAAGCGCGAAATCGATGCTAGCGATCGCAGCGGGAGACAGGAATTTGTTTGATAAACTCGTCCGGCCTGCATCGATACGACTTGTGCGTGTGTGCGTCGTATCGATCGCCCGACCGAGACGGGCGAACCGAGACGAAGACACACGAAGAGACACGAAAATTTTTTTTCTTCGTCACCGGTTTTCGCGCGAAGAGAACGCGCGAAAACATTTATTTTTGGGGATCCACGTTCCCACGCGCGACAAGAAATGTTCCAGAAATTCGCGCTTCGCGGATTTGTTCTAAAGAAAGAAAAGAGAAAAGAAATCCACCATCCGTTCCTTCGAGTTATTATATCGAACGAACGAAGTGAAACGAGTCATTCCTCGATTCCTTCTCGGCGTAGATCCAATTTTCCAACGTTTCGTTTGTCGCGTTGTCACTCATCGCGACTCAACCTCTTTCTCCGGACGACGAATCATTGGCCATTTTCTTTCTTTTTTTTTTTTTTTATATATATATATATATATATATTGAAAAACGGATCCGCGTTTAACTTTCGAATTCGACGATTTTTCTTCGTTTTCCGTGATTATTTATCTCTCCACGCCTCCCCTCCCTCTCTCTTTTCTCTCGTTTATTCCACCAACGGTTGTACTTGCTCCGATCAACTTTTTGTATATTGTATTTTTTCCCCCTCTTTTCTCCCTATTTTTACATATTTCGCGGAATAATGCGTGAATAATTTAAGTTAAACACCATAAATCTCGAGGACTGCCCTTTTGTTCCTACTATTCCGTGTCCTTTCTTCTTCTATTTTTTTTTTTTTTTTTTTTTTATTCCTTTATTTTATTCCTATGCAATTTACGTACGATTAGTCATATACGTAACACGAGTAACCTAAGATTTTTTTTTTTCTTACGACATTTTACGTTTAGATTTTAGATTAGGTAAGACACGTAACACCGTTCGATAGACGGACGCCGTAATTTCGACAACTTTCTTCCGGTTTACCTTCGAGTATCACGTACCTTTTTTTTCTTTTTTCTTTTTAAGGATCGCTTTTCTCTTCCTCTATTCTTTTATGCTCTCTCTCTCTCTCTCTCTCTCTCTCTCTCTCTCTCTCTCTCTCTCTCTCTCTCATCTCCTACGTTACCTTATTTTTCGCGTTCGTTCGCGTACGAAAACTGCCTCTTAGCTCTGTCCAAAAGACAATGTTTGTTTACACATATACACACACACACATACCCACACACACACGACTGCTCAATAAGACTAGATTGCTCAAGTTCCGTGTCTGTTCCGTGTAGTTAGCGCGAAATCAATCAGGGAAACATGGACGCAAGTTCTCTCGCGTTGCACTCGCGATGCACAAAAGAGAGGAGAAAAAAAAAAGAAAAAAAGAAAAAGGAGAAAGTGGAAAAAAAAGAGAACGATTTTTCAAAGTCTCCCACGGTAACTAATCTTCCTCGTATATTT